CCCCCTAGCAGCCACCAATCAGCATGAGACAGGGAAATACCTGGGATGCCAGATGACCCTCCCAGTAGTTTGTGGTGGTTGATAACATGTTGGGAAACCATGTAGTTCAGCACGTACACCCCTCTTGGCTCAAACCAATCAGTTCAAACGAATACCCCTTTTGTACTGACCAATCACCCCTACCCAACTTGTTCCCGCCAGTGAATGTGCTAATCATGTTTTAGAGTTGTTATTTGATTTTCTCGCGGTGTGTGATAATTTGCTAAGAGTTGCTATGATGTATGTGAAGTCCCTGCCTTCTCCAAAGAATGTATAAAACTGCTGCAAACCCTGGGCTCGGGGCCTCTCAGCGTCACCAGTTGCTGTGTGTGTGTGCGGAGGACCGAGCTAGCTTGCAATAAACACCTCTTTGCTGCTTACATCGATCTTGGGTCTCTGGTGATCTTTGGGGGTCCCGAATTCGAGCATAACAAATTCTGGTTTGAACTGTGGGAAAAGATATGCACAGCAGGGAGAAGCACAGCTCAAGTTGCTGGTGATTGTCCACTCGTGGTCAAATTTCCTAAGGAGCTGATGACAGGAAGTGGTTTCTCAAGTAAGCATAAATGAGTACACAGACTCGCTTTATCTTCAAAGACAGAAAAAAAATGAAATAAAATTTTAAAATACTCAATCTAAAACCAAAGCAAGACCAGATAGCTGCCTCACAGAGAGCCCACAGGAGAAAGATGTTTCAACAGGAAGAAAGAAGTGGCCAGAAAATCCAACTCCTGCAATTTTGAGTACAGAAGGCTCAAGACTCCAAGAAAGGAAGATTTTTAAAAGTGGGTAGTGGAAGGACAGCAGCTGCCTGGAGTGTGCACAGAGAAGCCAGAAGCAGAAGGCCAGGGCCTCCTGGATGCTGTGCACAAGTAACACTGAAAGTGTTTCAAAGCTTCAAAACACCCTGGGACTACAGACTCAAAGTAGGAGCCCATGCCCCCAGGGAACCTGAAATGCTTAACTAATGCCAGCAAATAAATCCGTGACTGTCTTGTATAGGAAAGCAGATGATGTTCAGTCCCCATGGGACACAACCCATGCACTGATGCTAACTTCAGTCCAGTTCCTTCAACCCCTGGGTTTCTAGAAAAATCATCCAAAATCATTGTCAATGCAAAATTCTCAGAAAGTTAAAAATATGACTTGTACAATTATGAAATTAACCTATGTCAAAGGTGTTATTCAGTTCATTAATTAATGACGGAACCAACAAGACAATAAGGCTCATTCAGTGAGTGTTTTGAAGTTTAGGTCTTCTTAAGCATTTGGAACAATGTTAGAATGAGAATGCTGAGTTACATGCAAAATAATGAGTAGAGCAATAGGCCATCACCTTTGTGCTCTCTTTTCTACCCAACCAGAAGTTATTTGGAAAATCTACATGTTAATAGTAACTTTACATAGTCTGGAAACTAATTAATAGTAATGAGCTATTGAACAAAGTTTATTCTCCTGCTTGGATTATTAAGTGCTCATTGGAAAGGCCTGCTAAAGCATGCCTCATTTGACTTTTTGAGGTGTTGGAGATCAGACTCAGGGCCTTGCTCATGTTAAGCACATGCTCTACCATAAGTTATATCCCCAGCCTTCCTTATATGAAATTAAAATAACACTTTACCCATCTTTGAGTCTTATTTCCAAGTTTTAAATAATTTTTCTTAACTCCTTGATGCATAATTTAGTAATAGGTGTTGGGAAATTTTTCATTTATGACAGACACTGGAGGAATACCTCTCCTAATTTTTTGAGAACTGGATTGTCCATACAGACTGTTGATGCTGGCCTTGACCCGTGTTGCTAGAGGAATTGTGTGGGAGGAAAGAGAAGAAATTCCTGATTAGAAAAATCACACAGATGGCAGCAGGGAACAACTAACCCTGCTGGTCTCAACCATCTGCCAGCCTGCCAGACCTTGCTGACCATGTCACACTGAAGTTTGGCACTCACCTCCCTCTGAGCCACATGAAGCACCTAAGTAGGGAGGGAACCACCACAGTTAGAATCCAAATGCGTCACCTGCAGAAACAGCAGTTCCTCTGGTAGGTGAGGACAAAAACTACCCTTCAAGTGTGGCACTCAAAGACAGCAAGTGGCTGAAACAGTTGGTGACCCTGCAGGAAAAGCCTGTTCAGAAAGGTACAGTTGATGTCCCAGCTCCACACAAGACCAACTTCACCTACCCCAGAAGAAAGAACCCAATTTCTTATTTAAAAATCTTCATGGAAACCAAAATACTTCCCTCTTTTTTTTTTTCTTGGGGTTTTCATGCACTTTTTGCATACAAGGGGGAAAAAATTATTGTCTGCTAGGAATGAGCAAAGTGTCAGTAAAAGACATTTTCCAACAATGGATTAGAGTTGTACCTAAGGAGCTGGGTTAAGCAAGCATGAATGTAAGTGACAAAGAATATAAAAGAGGGGATTGTTTTGATGGTTCCGATGAAGGTTACCAAAGAATTGGCCTGGAAATAACAAGTGTTAGTGGGGACATGGAGAAATTGGAATCCGTACACATTGCTGGTGGGAATTTAAAATGGTACATGTGCTACGGGAAATCAGTTGGCATTTTCTCAAGAAGCTAAACATAGAATTACCATATGACTATGTAATTCCGCTCCAAGATATATGCCAAATTGAAAACAGGTATTCAAACAAGTACTTGAACATAAGTGTTCACAGCAGCACCATTCATAATAGCCCAAAGATGGAAACAAACCAAATATCAACAACAGATGAATGGAGAGACAAATTGTAAGATATATAGATGTATAGAAAGATAGACATAGATATAGATAATTGAGTGGAATACTATTCAGTCTTAAAAAGGAATAAAGTGGGGCTAAAACTATAGCTCAGTGGTATAGCACTTGCCTAGCATGCACAAACTCCAGGGTTTTATCCCAAGCACAGCAAAACAAAAAAACTTCTTGTTTTTTTTTTTTTTTTT